AGAATTCTATCGAAAATTTTAAAATTATATACCTATCTAATTATTCGATAATAATACGATCATTTAAGCCTAAATATGGTTTTGAATGAATTCAATACATCTTACATTTAACTCATAAGTTATAATTATGTTTCACAATCAACAAATTTTGTAAATGCTCAGTCAGGAGTTAAAAGCCGTTAGTATTAAAAAGTTATAACAGATTTATTTTTGACAATACTTTTAATGTTTGCAATAAAACCTTAGATTTTATAGCCAATAACTAAAAAGCAAACCACCATTAGAAACTTGAAAGCATTAGACGACCCTTTCGTTAAAGCATGAAACCCATCAGCATTGCAAACCGACAACGTCTGCACTCGTCAGTTGAACCTAGGGCCTTTAGTCTCGCTCACACAAGCCTAAACATTTGACTACTAAGCTTGCACAATCGGTTTTAATGTATAAATTCAATCAATCTACTTGATAACTAATATCACGATAAAATCTGTGTGAATTAGATGAATAATTTTTCTTGAAATTAGTATTATTACTGTGATTACGGAAAATGATATTTGGTGTATGTCGTTCAAATATTAAAATGTTTAGAATCCGATTTATATTTGGTTTCGTATAGAACAATTCGAATTTTAAGCGTTTTGTCGGGCGTTACTCATATGAGTCTAGCTTCAGGGGAACTGCTGTTATACTTTGGTCATGAAGATGAAAATGCTACACATGCACAAGGATTGGCACTGGTGCTGTCCAAACAAGCACAAAAGGCACTTATAGGATGTGAATCTCGTGGACCCAGGATCATTAAAGCACCCTTCAAAACAAAGAAAGAGGGCATAACAATGCTATGCACCTACCACCGAATACATTGACAGCGTTAAAGATAGATTCTAAGAGAGGCCGCAGTAAATCCTCGAGAGATGCTCATCAAAGGATTTGACCATTCTGATGGCGAACCAAAATGCCAAGGTTGGCATGGACAACACAGGATTTGAAAACATAATTAGACGTCATGGACTGGAAAACGGTGATAGATTTACAAACCTATTTGCCGTCAACAAACTAGTCGTCGGTGGCGCATATTCCCACATAAATGCATAAACGGATCACGCTACCCAGAAACAAATCAGTCAAAAGTTCTAAAGAACGATGGGGGAGTGAGAATCAAGAGAGGAGCTGATATAGCTTCAGATCTCCACTTGCTGGTCGCCAAAATGAGGGAAGGCGAAGAAATCATTAAAATTGAAGAACAGCGAAACAGGTGGGTAGAGAAATATGAAGAACTCTTGAATCGCCAACCCCAACGAAGTCATCCAGCTTCCTAGCAGCCTACGCAGACCGTCTAATAAACGTTGGCCCACCTACAATTGAAGAGATCATTATGGTCATCAGACGACTCAAGGAAGGCAAAGCAGTGGGACCGGACAACATTCCAGCAGAGGCAATGAAAGCAGACGTGGCAGGAACAGCAAAAACATCTCACATTCTTTCCAACAAGATTTGGGATAAAGAACGAGTACTAACAATGGAAAGAAGGATACCTGGTCAAAATAAAAAAAGGCGATCTCAGCAAGTGTGGGAACTACAGAGGCATCGCTCTTCTCTCAATACCAGGTAAAGTCTTAAACAGTATATTGTTGAACAGAATGAAAGACTCCGTAGACGCTCAAATCCCACATCAACAGCTTGCATTTCGTAAGGATCGATCGTGTACAGACCAAATTGCAACATTACGGATCATTGTGGAACAATCAATTGAATGTAATTCACCACTCTACATTAACTTCGTTCATTACGAGAAAGCATTCGATAGCGTGGATAGGTCAATACTATGGAAGCTTCTTCAACACCACGGCATGCCTGAGAATATAGTCAACATCATACTGAATTCCTTTGATGGATTAAACTGAAAAATCGTGCACACAGGACAGCTGACATACTCGTTCGAAGTGAAGACCGATGTCGGAGGCAAGGTTGTTTACTCTCACCCCTTCTCTTCCTCCTGCTGATCGACTGGATTATGAAGACGTCAACATCTGGAGGGGAGCACGGTATTCAACGGACAGCTAGGATAAAGCTGAACGATCTGGACTTCACGGATTATCTGGCTCTTCTATCGCACACGCAACAACAAATGCAAGAGAAGACGACCAGTGTAGCAGCAGCAGGTCTCAACAAACATAAAGATAAAAGCAATATTCTCCGATAAAACACAACATGCTTGATGGAGATGCCTTGGAGTACGTCAACACCCTTACATATCTTGGCAGCATCATTGACGAGCAGGGTGGATCTGATGCAGATGTAATGGCGCGGATCAGCAAAGCAAGGACAGCATTTCTGCAATTGAAGAACATCTGGAACTCAAATCAACTATCAACCAACTGCAAAGTCGGAATTTTCGACAAAAATGTCAAAATATTTCTACTATATGGGACGGAAACTTGTAGAACTACGAAAGCCATCATCCAGAAGATACAAGTATTCATTAACAGTTGTCTATGCAAGTTGCTTCGGATCCGATGGCCAGACATGATTAGCAACAACCTACTGTGGGAGAGAACAAACCAGATGCCAGTGGAGGAGGAAATGAAGAGAAAGCTCTGAAAGTGGATAGAACACACATTGCGGAAAGCACTCAACTGCGTCACAAGACAAGCCCTCATTTGGAACCCTCAAGGTCAAAGGATGAGAGGAAAGTTAAGAAACACATTACACCGAGAGATAGAGAAAGACATGAAGAAAATGAACAAAAAGTGGAGAGAACTGGGAAAGGGAAGCCCAGGACAGAGAATGTTGGAGGATAGGCGACGGGCGGTCTATGCTCTTTTAGGCGTAACAGATGTAAGTAATTAATTTAAACACTCTCCTTCTAATGATAATTTTGACTGACTGCTAATAAATGTAAGCTGCCAATTGTGTTGCTTGTACGGATTGTCTTGAAACAAGTTTACGCATGTATGCTAAGATTGATAAAAATTCAGTCGTATATCAAACAAAAGCAAAATTTGAACTAATACAAATTAAATTAAAATTCATATCTGTTACGTAAGTGAATAACTATCTGGATTCAGTAGAAGAAAGAATAATGAGTTTACTTGAAGCGGATATTGAAGAAAAATTTAAATTTTAGTTACGAATAGACCGCAGTTGTTTATCTAAATCCAGAATTAATGGCGGTTTTAAAAATATTAAAATTGAAACAGTATTTTTTAAGGTTGAATATGTCTTGCTGACTAGTTGTAACAGTCATGATTTGTAAACTTACAGTATTTATACCTTTAAGCCAGTGAATTTTTATTTGCAAATTCATTTTGTGAGAGTGAAATAAATTCTACTTAATTAATGGTAGCCATTATTTCAGAAGTATACGGAATTCTATAACTGCATGCATTGTCTTGATAGATTTATTGTAGAAAAATTTCCCAGTTATAAATGCAATTACAAAATGTGTCTGGGACCTATAACTGAATTAATCTATTGTTATGAAGATACTTATTCCGATTAATCTTGTTCAAAATGCCAGTTTATTAAAAAAAAAACGATTTTATACATCACAGTGTAGTCACTGCCAATTATTAGTTTTCAGTATGAAGAGAGCAAACACATAAATGCAAAAATTCAAGTTTATGTGTACGTTAATGTACATAAACATTACAATATGTAATATAAACATTTCAGCGACCCAATAAAGTACAAATATTTAGTTGTTAAACGGTTCGGCATTTTTTAGAATGCGAAATAGAAAACTCTACTTTTAAATGTACTATAAAATATTTTTGGATTGACTGTGTGGGTCAGTTGAAGAAACAATTATCTCACATGGAGATAAAAAACAGAAACAGGATTTTTGTTTAGCTTTGAACTCTAATTTTTCCATCTTGCTGTGATTCTTAGTTACATATAAGGTTGAAACTGTCCTTTTTTTAATGTCAAATGACTGTTGGAAAAAAGTACTAAGTATCAGTAGCATATGTCAATGGAAAGATAAAAAGTAAAGCCATTTACATTCTTTCACTTTTATGTTTTTGAATAAATTTTAACATAGTTTTGTGCGACTTCACAAATCATGTTGCTTTTGTAAAAAGAAAATATTTTATTTCTTTAGTTAAGTATGTTGTTGAATAAAGATTGCACAAATTATGAAACCTTATCACTTCTTGATTTCTACTAATTATATGGTTTTATTTTTATGTCGAACGAAAGAAATACAAACGTCCATCTCTGGTTATTGACAACCTTCAACTGATATTGTTCGGTATTATTCTATCCACAGTAGAAAGTTCGATATGTTTGTGCACTGTTTCGTTTACATTGTTGAAGGAAATTCTAGTATTTACAACGGTGAGATCACATATCATAAAAGAGTTATATGAAAACCAATGTCCTCTATTAATAGAACATTATAGTCGGTCATCTAACCTATTATTTATCTACCTTGGAATAAAGCTAAAATGATGAATACAATTTTGACTGAACCGAAAATTGTTTGACGCTTAGACTAGAAATAATAAAAACAGAACAAGGAGGAAAATTTCAAAATCAGTCGAATGATAAGAAACGATCATCTACACACAACAATCATAGAAACATGAGAGTTTATGATTCGATCAGTACTAAGTCGAATAAAAAATGTATCATTAGTTATTATTCAATCATCAAACAGTGTTGACTAATCTGTCGTAGCGGTTTACTTGAGGTCATCAATAAGTTAATCATCCGAACGTAACACTAGCCGGTACAGGCTGTAATGTCAAAATGTGAATTATCTTAAAAATCTAAGATTCACTAGAATAACATAAAAGCTATGTTCAAAAATATGTTTATTTTCCCTTAATTATCTAACACTAGTAATCAATAAATAATAGTTACTGGATAACTTCTTAAGCATTAAACATTTCTCCAGTCGAATAGTACTTATCTAATAATGATCAGTCATAACTAAAGTAAGCGATTTTTAACCCTTCGAAATTTACCTTTCTTAACTGATAAATAAAATAACTTACCTTGGTCATCTGTACAATATCTTGCCATACTTCCAAGACTTGCTGTGCTTATTTTATCGGTTGACATGTGTGGAATTGTTGGATTAACAGATAATGGATAACTTTGATCTGTTGTAATAGTTACATTTCTCTCAGTTCTACTTTCTAAATTGTCAACATTGAATTTATTGTAATATTCATCGGATTTTATGTAATGATGATGAAGAAATGGTGGAAAGTTGACATCTAAAATTTCATCCGATAATGTAACATGTTTTTCTAGACGTTTTGGTTTTTGTTTTATCGAAGTACCACCTTTGACCAAATGATCCACAGTATATAATTTATTCTCAATTGAATGATCTGCTGGTGTTTTGTGAACTTCAAATACATATCGACTATCTGATCCAACAGGCTGACTAGATGAATGAAATGTATTCGATAATGTAGTTAGTATACAAGGATTGTTAGTGTGACTAGCATTATTTGATTCAGTGGAATTAATAGTTGTTGCAACTGTGGTCATTTGAATATCACATGACATATCCATCAAATGTGAAAAACACTTATTTACAGTTCAAATAAAAGTTATATGATGATAAAGATAAATTACGTGTTTTATTTTCATTTCAAACTAATAATAATAATAATCATAATCATAACTGTAAACATTACTCTAAATGAAAATATTTCAAAATACAAAGAGACAACTTTGTTTTTCGCTTGTTTTTGTTCCCAGTTAATAAATAATAACTATTTGATTGGTTGAAAGAAAATCATTCAATCAAATCACTAAAATTGATTTATAGAAAAGAAAAGAACATGTTTTTTTCGTAATCATTTATCAATCCTTAAGCTGTAATCAGTTTATCCTTGTCGTTTACTTTATTTGTTCTATGTGAAAATTTCCATTCGGATTTTCAATGCTTGAACGGTCCATAGAAAGTGACTTAGACTCGATAACTTTTAGGTGGTATAATTGTTTAACAAAAGCTTTCCCCATCTTCCGTCTTATAAAACGGTTGTAGTTTAGTCATATTCTTATTCATAGTATGTTCAAATGAATAATATGGAACGATTTTTATTTCATCGATTTTTTATAATAAATTCAAAAGAAATAAGTAAAACTTTTGCATCCGTTTACCATAATCAGCTCGTTATATTGCAAATATCTATATTCCAATAAAGCTCCATTCCAGTTGTATGACATTACTTTTTGGCGAATTAGGCTATGAAAATCGATGAACTACAAAATGCACGGTCACCATAAATGTTTATATTGTCTGTATCATTATTAGAATCGATAGGCATAAACATTTTAGAAATTCCAGTGAATATGAATTTACCTATTTAACTGCTAACCGCATAGAAACGCTACATCCTATCAACTAGGTTTATGTTCGATAAGTTTACTGAAATTCTTCTGATACAAGACTCGGCAAATCAGAAGTAATCAATAGGCATATATATATATATACTTGTGTATCAGGGAAAAAGTAATTTGGAATCAATATCAGATAAGATAAACTTACTTCCACTGAAAATTAATCGAATTCATATAGCTGTCAATAAAAAAAATGCTTTACTCCAGATGGTTTCTTGTTCATATCACATACTGCCTTCAACTAAACAACCATTTAAACCAGAAAGCACTGAATTAATTTTTCGTACAAGTAAAGAAGTTCTCAAGGGTGAGGTTTCATCACGCATTTCTAAACGGAATTCAAAACCGTCAAATATCTGTCTTCTCATCTAATCGGTTATATTTATAACTTTAAACATTTAGTGAAATTATGCAACTATCATACTTCGACACTGGTCATACCGGTCCTATGTTCTAACCACGTAAATTCTGTACTCCCACCCCAGTCTGTTTCAATTACGTTTTGTATCAATCTATTTGTATAATTCTGTATTGTATGTGTTCTTTTTGAATTTTAAATGTCATATCTACTTACACTCTGTAAAACGTAAACTGCTATTGTTGACTGTATTATTCAAATATTACTTGTGTCTAGAAATTAGAGTCTATTAAATGAAGTGAATAATACTTGTAAATAAAGATATTTAGCAACATTTACATTATTTATATTCAATGAAAGACTGTCAGATTATAATGTAGTTGGCTAAACTTTCTGTTGCTTATATGAAAGATCATTTATTTCACAGAACCAAAGTTCGTAGTGTTTTCAGTTTCTATCTTTAATTTATGATATTTAGCTTGCTGAAATAATTGATTTTATTCTTTGAACCAGTTGAGTAAAATCTGAATAAGACTGAAGTTAACTGCCATCATGGTTACAGAACATCTTACAAAAACAATTTGTTCCTAATTATAATTAAAATTTGAAACCTGTTAACTAGCACATTCGATAACATGCCAATTTGAGTCTGAAAAATAATTTAGATAAGGACATTTGTGTTTTTCATTACGGTGAATTAATATCAAGTGAAAATGAACATTACTAGATGTCATTATTGCAGCTCAGGTCAAATTGATCTATGAAAGTAACGAAAGCGGCTTCATTTCGTTTCTAGTGTCGACAGATATCTACTTCAAGTTGTAATGTAGTCACTAGAGAAATCGCCACTATCAGCTGAGTTTAAGGGTTCTCTTGAAGAATTTCATCCTTCATAAGATTGAAGATACGTCTTGTTAGTGAGTACCAACCATTATGAAATCTATTACTTGATTTATACAGCCTATTTATGTAGTCCACTAAATATATCATCTTTATTTAGAATGAAGTTGCGATTCATAATTTTATGTCTGCTAACACGAACTTAAACTTCATAACAAAGGTTGTATAAAAAAAATGTCATTATCAGTAACTGATTATTCACTGAAAATATCATACATAAAAAGCAAGCAATCCGCTGTTAAATCTGAAATAAAATTGAAAAAAAATAGCTATATTACTAATAAACGTTGGGTAGTTTCAAAGGTGCAATTAGAAAACGCAAATGACAGATCATGACGTACTACCGTGATCCTAAACCACATAATAGTAACAACTATTATAAATTATTGTTTTACTTTTATGTTTCTAAGGTAATAATAATTCACACCGGTCAAATATTGCTTTAGGACTAACAACGTGTTTATGTATGCATTACTTACTAATAAATCAGTAGAAACAACTTTTCATAGATGATATGTAATGAGTGTTAACTTGTTACCTTAGCAACGCAGAGTTTCGCATCGTGGTTTATTTTAATAATCATTCACTTGATAATTAGTTCATCGATAATTATATATAATCGACTCGATAAAGTGCTTCAGTCTATAAAGCTAAATTATTTGAAGATCGATAAAATATGAATAATAGTGACTTGAAAAACAATAAATAAATCTTAGAGAAGAGATCTATACTTGTATGTACGTTACTTCAAGTTTAGATCACGTGAAGAAGTAATCAAGATTTTGAGTAACTTGACGCACATCTGGTTCTCAATATCAGTTCATTTGCATCATTTTATTGGTGACCAATTACATAAGGCATTTTTTACTTTTAAGTACCTAATGCAGTTTCAAACATATATACCTTAGTAAATTTGACTAAAATTATTTTGCGGAATAATAGTTAGAATAGTTAGAATTAAGTTATTGAACAAAATAAGAACACAGATAATAATTTTACTTTTCAGTAATTCGTGTATATTTTGTTTATTTGTTAATTATTATGATTATTATTATCAGATTCGCTGAAAAAAATTCTGAAGATTTCAAAAATGCACTTATATGCTAAATGAAATAAGTCATTTAATCTATGTTATGTTTACTAATCCCTAATATGTGATATACATAGTATACTTAAAGTGATTCAACTTGTTTACTACACTTACATTCTACATGCTTCTAGCTTCTTGTATGAAACAAAACACTTTTTAAATGATATTTAGTCACGCAAAATACCATGTAACATAAAAACTCACAAAATGTTTTAACCTATCTTACTGAGAATGTTTTGCGTCATGGATTTTCCCAATTTATATAATACTTGTAAACGTATTGACAAATAAAGAAAGTTTCTAATTAAAATTCCAAATATGAAATGTGTCGTTTAATAAAAAATGTCAGTTTTTATGTCAGCACAAACTACAACTAAATCTGATTTTAAAAATAAATCAGTTGATAAAAACATAATTAAGACAAAATAAATATGAGTGGATTACATCTTCCTAAGAATAACAGTGACTGATTTTTATTGCTAAACGATTTTTTCCACTCATGTTTCAAATCTTGCCTGATTACTCGTATTTGAAATTCTTAGACCCATAATAAAATCACATAATCAAACTGAAAATCCTAAAGGTTTTTCAAAAGCTTGATAAAATAATTATCTCAAACTGCTTTATTAAAATGTAAAAGCTAGCAACGAAACTATACACAGTACAACTTATATTCAATAGGGGCTGGTTTAAATGTAAATTATATATTTATAGTTATGTGACACGGCTATCAATCTTGCACAATACGTTTGAAATAAATAGGTTGGTATTTAAGTCAATTCAGTTAGAAATGATTTTTATTAACGGATCTTGTTTACAATTATAAAATAATAGGTAAATATTTTTGTAAGGAAGAATTAAAAAGTAATTGTGCTTGTCAACAAGTTCACCTTACTCGGCAAACGGAACGCAGATAAATGATGAAGCGATACGATAGGCTATTCTAATCCGATCGCCCAAAGCTCCGCTAACTAAAGCAAGAAGTCTTGATAGGGCGTAGAGAGTGTATTCTACAGACACCCAGAAAGACTGAGGTTGACAAGCACACAAATTGAACTTTTTTATACATGACAGAAACGCCCGTGGGAGAGCCATAAAATAGCGTACTAAAATAATCCATCAACCAATGACAGTTCAGGATTATCCGAGGGGGAAATGTGAGCTGAGATTATCTGGAAGAAGAAAGAACAAGAGAAAAAGATGATCCATCGACTCAGTAAGCACAAAGAATCCACTTATATTCAATAGAGAAACCAATAGACAGCAACCGGAAATAAACCCGATATGAGATTAAGACAAGCTGATAAACGAAGATAGGAGTTGTTAGAGCAAGATTTCGAATGCGTTATACGGCTTCCTCTGATGGAAAAGCACTGTCAACCGTGCTTGTGGTACCTGTGTTTCTGTGAAGCTGACTTACAAGAAGTGAAATTGCCTCTATGTTGAATAACATGAGGTGAGATTGCTGCTGTGTGATGCGCCTGAATGTGAGCTAACTATATTCCACCTCCTTTACCAAATATATATATATATATATATATATATATATATATATATATATATATATATATATATATATATAGTGTAACCTGAGCTCTGTTGTTTGTGAAACATACCAAAAACTTATAACTAAAAAGTAACTAGTGCATTAACGCAGAATAAGGTGAATGGAGATGAAAAGTAAAGAACATAATGTAAATGTTTATTAGTATTTGTTTTACAAGTAATATGATAAGTTACTGTTGGTTACATGTTATTATAATTAAGTGTTTCATAATCTTCTATCAATTTTCTTATACAACCAGTGAGTAGTTTTGT